GTTGTAATGCTGCAAATGTGGCCAGCATAAATGAATAAATTAATTTTATCCGATTTTATGCTATATCCGATATGACCCAACATGACTCTTATCATAAATTATAGTTACATTATATTACATTAACCAAGTATATTTTATACAATTTGAAGCACATTTAACGAAAATCATTTGTTGTAATGTTTGTTTGCGGATTGTGCTTACTTTTTAGATGTACTAGGACCTCCCACAAACGTTCGATTTATAGTCGTTAACATTAATTCAACATTGATATGGGATCCACCAGAGATTGTTAGTGATGGTGACGTCATCTTATATACAGCGAAATATCAAAGGTAAAAATATAGCATCTTTTTCTTTTTTTACCTACTGCTATTCTCTGCGTAAGTAAATTACCTATTGGCATTCCCTATGCGAGTATATATGTGAGACGTTTATCCACTTTTTAAATATAATACGCTTATTCAATTGCATTAGACTGAGTGTCAATTAGTAGTGTTACATATACTAAGCTAGTGGTTCAAGCGACTAAGTCGTCGTACACCACTATATTCGAGGGACATATAAATGAATGCTTTCGTGAATTCGTGAAAGTGCATGAAAATGAATATTGAAAATAACGTAAAATGAATAAAAACATGTTTTTAGATATATAAAAAGTATGATTTCCACGGGACTAGAGTATTGTTAACTTACGGTACGATATAAAGGGTAATCAAACGTTGTATATGAAGTGGTATTATGGTAGTATAGGAATTTTACATATAGTAAATATGAGTTCCATAAGGCAACGTATTCAGATATCCATACGGGCGCTGTATCTGTAAATATTAAATATTACCCGTTTGACTGCTAGATATTTTCCCGCCCGAAATTCAGTGCATATATTTTCACATTTTTTGTAATTGTCACAAAATTTAATCATCATTTTGGCCCATACGAACAATTTCAGATAATTTGTCAACTTGTCATGTGGGGGAAGTGCAATCTGTATATTAATAGCCATTTTGTTACATGTGCCAACAATTGACGATGGCACTTAAAAGATTAAATAAAGTCTGTTACCAACATAACATGTTTGTCCAAACTTTTACTTCTTGATCGTTGCCGGTATACATAATAAAACTCAAATATTCAAGTGCTAGTGCATTTGATTAGCGTAGTAAATCCCATTGTATTTTTTTTTTGTCACATAGATGTGGCAGTGAACATGTTATGGACAAGCCTGAATGTACTCGCATTACATCTACAAGGTGTAATTTTGGAGCTGACTTTTTTCCATCTGAAAAACTGTGGTGTGCAGTTGTGGAGAGTATAAGTGAACAGTTTAACACTACAAGTCAAAGCGTCACCAAATCTACATATCCGCGAGTAGCGGGTGAGCATATACACCATAGCAAATTACTTGCACATTCATGCGTCAAAAGTGTGCATTGTGAACAGTGCGGTAACTATAATCGCTACTGGATACCCCCCCCCGTCCTCTTCTCACTTATTACGCTAGAACTCCCCATTTTTATAGTCGACAGCGTTAATTGTTCAACCAATAGTCTTAATACTTTGCATGCGTTGTCATGACTGCAAGTGGACTCCACCACTGAGCATCGCCATGACAACATCAATGCAACTTGGTGACAGCATACAAATTGAAATGTACAAATGATGCTAAGCTTGTGCATAAAGTGTAAAAAGCTGACGTAATTGACTGTAAGCAATTGTAATTACAGGTGTTATTGGACGTCCTGATATGACAACAATGATTATTGGTAGCTCTTATATATACATATCTTGGTTAGCACCACAGACACCGTACACATATCCAATAAATGGTGAAGTCAAGCGAGTTAATAATTTTATGAGAGTAGATTATAATTTAACGTACTGGGAAACAAATAACAAAGATGTAAAAGTAAGCATTAACCTTCTAGGTTGTAACATGTTACTACTGTTGTTTATTATAATAATTATTTGTTACTAAAATGAATTATGGCCCTGATTATATCCCTGCCATATTTGTCGTTTTAAATTTGTTACTGATTAGTCACTGATTAATTACTGATTAGTCACATGACCACCAGCAATAACAAAATTAAAACAACATTGCTGATATTGCATATAGGGAAAAGTATATTATTATTTTGATTAAAAAAAACATACATTCGTTGTGGTTATTTATTTTTCAGGACATATCCGCCATCTGTTCAGCCTCTAGTGGTGGATCGATTCTGTGACATCAATATGGATGAACACAATGTCTTTCAAATAACTGTGTTTGCTTGTGTAGTCGTTCGTCATTTAGAATCTAGTAAATCTTTCGAATACATATTCTTCATTGTTTAATAACTACAGATAAAAACGATATATGTCACTAATTTACGTCACAGAAACGCTTCGTCACGTGGGGGCACTGGTTGTAAACATACATGCTCAGTAGCATAGCATACTGTTAATCTGGATATTGTGCATAAGTTCATAAGGATAAGTTCATACAAACTTGAGTTATTGTATGTTTGAGGTTATAATCAGTCTAAATGATATACCAATATGTTTATTAAAATCGTCACGCAGCCCATGTTCGAATATTTTAGTCAATAGAAAGTTGATCGTTTACCATAAATCATTTTAAAGGGTTCTGATCACGACATCGACATCATCATAATTATTTATATTCAAAGTAACCCACAATATCTCTTCACCAATACTACTATGTAAGTGCATGCATTTGTTGTATATTCTGGTATATTGTTCTGTTGTAATGTTTTATATTAATAGACATTTTCATTTGTATTTCAGGTTACTACAAGCCAACAAACTAAACTAAACTTGAATTTAACAGATTTGCAGCCGGCGACTTCGTATGACATTGTTATTCAAGGCCAGATTAATGAAGTCTATGGCATCCCTTTAAAAATAAATGCAGCCACAGAAGAAACAGGTAGAATTATTAGGAATTCATGTCAGCAGAACCAACCAAACAACTTTAGCTCTATAGGATAGACTCGCGATGGAAGGCAACCATATTTAATATTATTGTCTCAAAGCTGAACCCAATTATTTATTATATAAATTATTACATCCGATTAACGCGTAATGTTTAGAAATCTAGATGAAACTGTTTACAAACGTTTAACTGTGCATATCCGATTGTTTGCGTTGAATTCAATGTATCCACATTATCGACTGTGATAATATACATATATGGATATACTTTCCATCATATTTCCAGCGCCAGGTGTAGGTGTTGACAGAGTGATCGTAAATGTGCAGTCACCCGATTGTTACACGTCATCCGATTTGAACAACGTGAACATTGAGTGGTCTGTAAGTGTGCTATTGATATTAGTAGTACTAAGTAATCTGTGTGTTTGTTTGTTTATTTATTTATTTATTTATTTATTTATTTATTTATTTATTTATTTATTTATTTATTTATTTATTTATTTATATTTATTTA